TAAATAAATAAATAAATAAATAAATAAATAAATAAATTAATAAATAAATAAATAATATTACATTTAATTTAATAAATAATATTACATTAATTTAATAATTTAAATATTACATTTAATTTAATAAATTAGTAATTTTATTAATATAATAAATTTATTTTAAAATCTAATTTCATAAGCTAATTTGTTGAATAATAATAAATTTATTGATATAAAATAAAATTTAATAATAACAATAATAATTATTATTATTATTTATATTTATTAATTTCGCATCTAATTATTTTTGCTACCATAAATAACGTTCCACGCAATTCTCAAAGAACGAGCTTATAGTTAAATCCAAAGATTAATGTTTTCAAATTTGCATAATAAACCAAGTTTTATTACTCCATTAACAGCCATGTAAAATTAGATTAAGTAAATTAATAATGTACTTAGTCTCAGCTATTCCACTAAATCCGCTTTGCGCCGCCCTATAAAGTTTTGCCCCTCCCACAAATGCACCTGTATTTACAGTTAATGTCTGTCTTGGCTGACCTTAGCAGCACTCGCTTAATTAATAATTCTAGTGACCTTAAGTAACACTCGCAGATTTTGATATATCTCACACGCAAAGAACCGTCGACAGGCAATAATTTTTAGTGCTGGCAAAGTCTGCAAGTGATTTGTCTGCTGGGCGCACATGGCGTATGATTGTTGTTGTACGCAAGTTTAATGCGTTGACAAACTGCGCAGCGCCATACACATAAATTTCCCATGTACAGATATATATATGTATATATATATTTAATTTTTGACTAGTCAGCAGCAGCTGTAGCCGAGTGCGGCCCAGTCAAGTGCTTAATGTGCCCAGAATGTGGCCGGCAGCCAAAAATGTGATTTATCTTGGGCCAGTTAACTTTGTAATGCTATCAAAAATGATTATTAACAATGTTCCTGCTGGCCGTGTGAAATATTTACATTGCATTTGCTGCTTGTTAGCTCTCTTGTATAAATTGATTGTTGCATTTCTGAATGGGGGGCTTAGGAAATGCGAATTGATATTCATGCTCTGGCTATTCATAGCTCTGGCTGCATGCATGTGTGCCCAGTGTTATTTATATAGAAATGCTTGAGCCAGGGGCTGCTACCCCATTCACAGCTGCGCTTTTAATAGACTTTTAATCAGCTGCGGTAATCTCTCCCCATATTTGTTCGATTAAAATCAATTATTTAGCATTGAAGTGCATTAGCTTAATTGAACTCCAGAGTTGATTCAGCATACGCGTCGTATGCGTAATATTTAATTGAAATTGTTAAAATTCATCAATTTTCTGCAAACTTATATAGTATCAAGGCTTTAAGCATTATTTATTTTACTATTTTTCTTTTATGGTAAACAAAAATACGTAAAATCATTTTCATGTTTTCATATTAAAGTTTTTCTCTTTTGGGTATTGGCAAGGCAGAAATAAAGAAAACATAAAAAGCTTTTGTTTTTGTTTTTTACGCCCAGCTCAGAGATAGCGAATGTGAATATAGAGTGAGCGAATTGAGCATAGCTGAATTTTAATTAAATTTGTTGTGTGTTGATAATGAAAATATTTTCTATTTGTTTTATTTGAAGTGGAAAAGTAACAAAGGTCAAGCGCTTAAGTTAAGTAATTATTATGGAACTCACTTATTTATGAAGTCAAATAAAAAAATTATGAAATTTTATATATAGGTATACCTATATGTGTGTATATACATTTCCTCTGTCATTTCACACTCTCTCCCGCTCACTCTCTCAATGTCGTTCAATTTTCTTTTGCAGATTCGAATTTTGTGCTTGGCAATGCGCAGGCAAATGGCAATCCAATTGTTTATTGCTCGGATGGGTTCGTGGACTTGACAGGATATTCACGCGCGCAAATTATGCAAAAGGGTAAGACAATTGAGCTAAGAGCGACGCCGACCGAACTTGACTGACTGTCAAATTGACGGACAGAAACAAGCAGCTTCAACACTTCAATACTCAGTTGAATGTATTTGTACATTTTATTCAATTGTTTGCCAACGACGATGACGACGACGACGACGACGACAACAACAATCATGCGAAAATGAATGAACAACAACACAAAAACAGGCTGTTCATGTCATTTCCTTTACGGGCCGGATACAAAGGAGGAGCACAAGCAGCAAATTGAGAAAAGTCTTTCAAATAAGACGGAACTAAAGTTGGAAGTTATTTTCTACAAAAAGGAAGGTAAGACACAGGCAACAACAGCAGCAATAACAACAACAACAAGAACAACAGCAATAGCTAAACAGTTGCCCAGCAAATTGTGAGAAATTTTTGCTGTAAATTGTTTTCATTTTTAATTAAAAGCATTTCTTTTTTATTCTGTTGTTGTTGTTGTTGTTTTTGTGCTGCTGCTGTTGTTTAAAGTTCATTTAGCATTTGAGGTAATTTGTGCGCTACAAAGAGGAAATTACATGCTCCAGCTGTTTGCGGCAGCTAAAACGCAAAAGATGCCAAGTTGCTACTGCTCCTGCTGCTCCTGCTGCTGCTGCTCCTGCTCCTGCTGCAACAGCTGACAACAGTCTGCGGTCAGGTTTAAACAAATTAGTTAAAGTTTCTTTTGATATTGAGAAAGAGCGCAGAATGTGATTAAGCGCAGATTTAATCCAGTTATGAGCGCAAATTGAGTATATTCCATTGAAAATCATAATTTAATTATGCTTAAGCTGGAAATGTTTCTATGAGATTTAAGAGACATTAGCTTAGGGTTTTAGGTATTTGCTGTAAGTCTGAAAGATTTTTTTAATGAGCTTCGTTCTCATAAAATTAGTGAAATTTAGCTTAATTTTAGCTTAATTGCCCACCTCCAGTGAATTACTATTTATAAAGAATATAAACATTATTTTCATGGCTCTGTTATAGTCCTAGAAACTGCATTTCATTCTAGATAATTACAGTTGAAAACAGAGTCTAACTAATACGTGAAAGCTTTACAGTTGCGGCAGCTGTGACCTTCATGGAGTAGAGGAAACTAAAGCTAACAAAATTTTAAAGCATAGTTGGCGAAGTTTTAATGGTCGCGCACTATTGACTGCAATCTGCAGAGAGAGAGAGAGAGAGAGAGAGAGAGAGCCGCCTGAACTAATTCCAAGTTTTAATTGGGGCATAGTGCAACGGAAAATATCAAGTTTTGCAATAATTCTAAATATTTGCCGACTGTGTATAACTAGACTTTTTGTTTAGGCCTTAGCCAAAGCATGAATTCCTAGCTTTTGTTTTAACTATAAAGTCCACAGTCATGAGACTAATATTTTCTTCAATAAAATGCTTTCAGGTGTTTATTAAGCTCTCATATTTTCACGCTTGCCACGCTAGAAGTAGCTCAGGGCCTAGTTTGTTCTGTTGAAGTGCTGTGAAATTGTTTTCTAATCCACTGTGACATATTTCTGGCTCATGAAAGTTTCACTTTCAGCCAGTGTCATCTAAGCATGAGCTGTGTGTGTGTGTGCGTGTGTGAGTCAGGCAACCGCAAGCCAACTTAAAAGCTGTGGCCTGCCACATGAGAGGAAATTGTGCAAAGTTTTGAAAAACAGCTGCCAAAGGATTATCACAATTGCTGGCCAAACAACAGCAGCCACAGAAACAATAATAGCAACAACAACAGCAACAGCAACAGCAACAACAACGGCTACAGCAACGGCAATTGTGTAATAAGTGAAAAGCTGTAAGTCAATTGTGGCACACGTCCACGTGCGCCGATTGCACAAAAAGTTTTTGTTTGCTGGTAAACCAGCAGCAGTCAGCAGGAGTCTGGCAGGAGGTGCTGCTGCTGGTGGTGGTGCTGCTGTCAGTGGCTCAAGTGTGCTGCCCCTTGCGTTCGGCTATAGCCGCTTTTAACCATCTTCGTATTGACTTTTAATTTAAGATACAGCCTGCTGCGGGTGCGGCTATGGCTGCTGTTTCTGCTGCTGCTCCAGCTCCTGCTCCTCCTGCTGCTGTAGCCGCATCAATTTTCTGGTGCGTGGCTCGCATGAGCTTGACTTTATTGAGTTAGAGGGGCTTTGCCTTGAACTAGTTTCCATTGGCAGCAGCAGCAGTAACCGCCTGTGGTTTGTAGCTGTCTCCCAGGAGCAGAGGGCACACACACACACACACATAGCACATTCAGCCACTTGTTGTGTGTGCGCACTAAACAATAAATTTGTTGGCAGCATTTTGGCACGTTCTCATCGCGTGTTTCACTTTATTTTATTTCAATTCGTTTTTCGTTGTGCTTTAATGAAGTCACGATTAATCGACCAAGTGGCCAAAGGCTACGGCTGGCTATTAAATGCTATCCACAAGTTTTCCAATTTGCAGCTCGTTTAAACAACTTTTAATAGACAAATTGCCATCTATTATTATTAATTATTAATATTATGAATTATGCAGCAATTTGTAATTAAAACTCTTGGCGGCCATTAATAATTGTGGTTTTATCAAATTGATATACAATCATTTTCTGCATACCATTAAATGTTAATTAACTTTGGCTTCTTTGTTCAGTCAAAGTTTTAAACTGTTTTGCTAACCAAAAAAAAAAAAAAAAACAATAAAAACCTCAAATTGCTGAGCCACAAATGAAATTGGCGGTCAAATGCAGCTGGAAATTTGTCGATTCAATTTTATTTGGTTTACTGAAATTGTTAAATGCTATTTGAATGAAAGTAATAAAGTTTACATCGTTTTTTTGGTTGTCCGCTTTGAGGCAATAGAAAAAGTAAATAAATAAATATATTTAAATATGTACTGCTCTTGTTGTGAGATCGCACAGTTGGGGTATATAATATATATATATATGAGGCAAGAGAAGAGTTAAAAAATATGTATTTTTTATTGTCTTTCTGTTGTGAGTTCGTCTGGCTGGGATATATATATTTCTTGATATTATTTAAAAAAAAAATTGTAATTATTTTTAAATACATTAAATACAAATTTTAGATTTTTTTTTCGATTTTTAATAATTTAATTTATATAAGATTTTTAAAATAATTTTTAGAATTTACTATACAAGCATTCATAAGTCAGATTTAATTTTCTCCAAGTGTAAAGAAAAACTGTCAATTAATACATATATTAAAGTTAGATAAGGGTATTAATTTTATAAAATCCTTTATGGAGGTTTTTTGGGAACCAGCAGAGAGCTGTAGTAGTATCTGGTTCTAAAATGGAGTGAAAGAGTTTTATCTCTAACTGTTGTCGAACAAAGCTCAACAGGATTCCTAATTCAACAGGAGTTTACACTGCTCTGCAAAAAGCTCTCACTATTATATGCTATGTTAATTAAGCCAACTCAATTTCAAGTTTCATTAAATTTGGTGAGCATTTTGCACTTCCTGGTGCCTGGTTTTACTGTTTTTGTTTGTGTTTACTCAGAAGCGTCTTCTCCATGGACACCAGCATCAAAGCAATGCTACCCAGCATAAAAGACCTTGGTTCGTCTGCCACGCCCACTTCTGCTGTGCCGACAAAGGCGTCTTTAGCTACGCTCAAATAGCTGTTTACATCAAACGCTCGCCATGGTCACTAAATCTGCTCAGCAGCTATTCATCTTAAATGCGCGCTGTTTACCGTTTATTATGATTATATACAGCCATTTTGTGTGACTGTGTGTGTGGGTGTGAGTGTGAGTGCTGGTGTGTATCTGTTTTTTTTGCAGTGTTTACAGCTGGCAACAGAGACCTGTGTGCCGTGTCTCCCAGGGTCACTTTAATTAATTAACACGTCAATGTCATAATTTATCTCTTAATCCAGGTGCGCCCTTTTGGTGTCTGTTTGACATTGTGCCCATTAAAAATGAGAAGCGCGAGGTGGTGCTCTTCCTGGCCTCCCACAAGGACATCACGCACACCAAGATGCTCGAGATGAATGTGAACGAGGAGTGTGATAGCGGTAAGTATGCCAGGCTTGATAGCAAAAAAAAAAAAAATGCCACGCAATAAATCAACTCTCTATATTAAATACTGTATAAGCCACATAGCAAATGCATTTTCGCGCACAAAGTATCAAGCAAGCATTATTAACAATTGACACGCCCACACAAGAATTGCACAATCAACTGTTAATACACCCCACTCAGCCACAGCCACAGCACAAATCACACGCGCCCCAAGTTAAATAATCCATAAACGAATAAAACAAAGGCAGCTAAAAAAATGTGAAAATGTTTGAAAAATTGGTTTAGCAAAATGTCTTGTCAGAAGGCGAATCATGATATATGTATAAATGACTCTCATCGTGATATGAGCATATACATACATACGGCTCTATATATATTGTCAGATGTGTGTACATATATATCAAACGTTGTCCCGCCTGTCTGCGGTTGCTCTCGCATTTTCTTGTTTCATTTTGTATACCCATTGAAAATGTGGAAATCAGGGTATGAACTTTATATGAAGTAGGCGTAACAGAAGCCCTATATATGACAGCAGCAGTTTATATATTATTGCTCTGAATGCCAAGCTGAGTGGATCTACTTAGTTCAATTGAACATAGATATCTTGCAAGCTTAATTCTTTATCAATTTTGTAACGATAACTCTTTATGATCGAAAGTAATGAATCTTGTTCTTATACTGCTAAATTTGGAAACTTCAGAGTTATATAAAAGAAACATTAATTGAATGCAATATCAGCTTTTAGCTGGGCTCAGCGAAACTTCTAGTCGAGCTGTCTCGACTCTCTCACTCATACTATTTTTGTTTTTCTGTCATGTCAACTTTATTTTTGACTGACTTTTTGGTTAACCTCTTCGTGTTGCGTTAGTTAACAGCATTTTTGATTTTTTTATGCTTTTTGTGAAATGCTTTGAGCTTGTGCATATAAATATTTAACTCGAACTCTGTGCAATTTTCTTGTTTTTTGCGTGTTTTTAATTCCATTTTGTCAACTTTTTGACTGAGCTGTGGTTTTTTAATACCTTATGCCAAAGGAGATTTGATGAATTTTCCACCACGTAGTTTTTCTAATGGGATTAGCTCGGCTTAAAATGACATTTAAAATTGGGTTTAATACCAGCAAAGTATAAAATGAGATTTGCTTGATGTTGATGTTGATTTAATTTATGTAGAATTTTTTTAATTCAAGCTTTTAATATGTGAATTTTATTTTTGTTATTGTGTAAATTTTTTTTGGTTTTATTTTGGATTTATTCCTATTTCTTCCTGATCTTAATTTAATTTTAAGCTTAAATTAAATATAAAAAATATTTAAATTAATGAATTTAAAAATTAAAGCTTTTATTTTATTGGCTAACACAAATTTAATTTATTTTTTTGTTCATCCTGCATTCAGTTTAAAATTGCAAAGTTTCTACTCAATATAATTGTATTCAGTGTATTAAATTTTTAAATAAAATATACATTTCATTGTCTGCCAGCTCAGTTTATTAAGTTACAATCGGATTATCCCAGTATTCATTTAAGTTTCAATTTAATAGCAAATTCATTTTAGTTTCAATTGAATTTATTTATTGTCTGTAAATCAAATGGATTTTTCAGGCAATGAAGCTTTAGCTTTGATTTGAATGGAAATAACGTCGAATGAAATAAATATTTAATTTGCCAATAATTTAGTTGTCATTTAATATGTTGAGCGTTGTCAGGAACCCAATTAGGCCTCCAACTATTACTCACCTGCGTTCGGTCGACCCGATTACGCATTAAATATGCTGACAACCGAATTTACTGAATTAGCTTAGTCTGAATAAAACAGCAAGGGCTGTGAATTAAGCAACTTGCATGCTTAAATATTGATGTGCAGTCAGACAATGCTCAAAGAAAAGGATGACAGAGAGGAAGAGAGAGAGAGAGAGAGAGAGAAGGAGAGAAAGAGTAAGACAATTGCAAACAGAAAATGCCAAGTGAATTGTTTGGCTTGTGCGCATGAAGTGAATTTATTCGCGTAGGTCATTGCGCATTCAACTAATGCGGATTAGTGAGCGGACTGGGTAAATTATTTGGTACATAACTAAGGTCTGCAGGGGTTTTGGCTAGTGGGGAGATCCCTGGCATTGTTTAGCTGCCTTGCACTCTGGCGTTTTCTGGCAGCTTTTCATTTGCAGTTTTATTAGCATCATTATTCAGCAGTCGCGGCTTTGTTGTCACTGCTCTTGACTCTTGACTCTTGACTCGACTTGTCTTGAGTCGCCTGCTCTCTGTTCTCAGTTCCCTGTTTGTGGTTTCTGTGGTCTTGTGCACTCATGCAAAGCACTGACAGGATGAGCAGCTCAAAACAAACAAACGCTCGTTCACAGTTTTCACTCAGCTTGAAACGAGCACTTAAAATACTTTTCTTTACTTTTTTCTCAGATTATTAAAAAATAAATGGCACAAATTCAAGTTGATCTGCAGCTGTTGCATGTACATTGGCCAGAGGGCTGGGAATGCGGTTTGGCTTTCCAGCTGCTTAACATGCACTTGCTTCTGACAGCGCTTGAGCGCATGTCATGCGGTTAATATGCAGGAAATTTGCAATTTATATTGCATTAATTACAGCGTGTGTCCAGTGGCATTTGTTGCACATGCCAGAGTCTAGAGTCTGGCAAAGGAATATGACAGAATCAAATATCATATAGTTGGCGGCTTGTAAATTGAATTTAATGTATATTGACAACACTTTTTTGCTATATTAATTAGTAAACGCTAAGAGTATGTGAAGAATCGTAAATCCAAAAATTCTGATGCAGAGTTGGCATATAAAATTAACACATTTATTAGTAATTTGTTTAAAATTATATATAATTTTTTGCCAGCTATTAGTATTGGCTACCTGACGTATACGTAATTTGAGTCAAATTCAATTTGTGGAACTAGTATACAAATGAAATTTAAAAGAAACAATTCAAGTCATAAACTTTTCAAGACAAAGATATTAAATAGTTGAATATAAATGCCATTACGTATAGGTAATAGGTATATAAATAATTCTAGTGCGAATACGTAATATTCGCAATTGCTTGGATTCATCAATTTGCAAGCCGTTATGTACTTAAAATCTCTTCTCTTTTATGGATAGCCTGAAGCAATTGTCGGCTGTGATATAAATGCCAATTGCAGACATTGGCCAAACACGCATGCGACGTATGCGTAATATTTTGAAGCAATAAAAGTTTATCTGGCAGAAGAGCTAAGCGCTGCAGCACATTTATTTAACTACGAACTAAGTCGTAAAGGATTTAATATTGTGTCAGAGACACTGCGTATACGTAATACACATTATTTTGAGCTAAATTTTAAGTTAGATATTTGCTGAAGAGAGAGAACAATTATTTTCTTATGTATATATTTTATTGATGCCTAAAAGATTTAAATGCCAAATATTTATCCAGCAAATTAGCAAACTATGGCTTACTACTTTATATAGAGAAAGCTGTCTACTTTACCATGGGCAGCCTCGCTCACACTAATGACAATCGGCTTACACACGACATATACGTAATCCAGCGAAAATACACATCGGTAATAATATTTAATTACAAAACATTGACATTTGCCGTAAATCTGTTAGGCTGCCTCGCACATTGAGCGGGCAAATTTTGCGGTTTGTCGGAAAGCCAAGCGCCGCATGAAATGAAATATGCACACAGAGTGAGGCCAACAAGCAATTAGGCTGTAAATTTGTAAGGAATTCGCCGCGTTTGATGTGGCCGATGAGCCGAGATTCGCAAGCCAATTGAATTATCATTCGCCGCGACACAGTTGTGTGAGAGCGAGCCAGGGCCCTGGCCGGCGACAGTTCAAATGACCGTCATTTTACACATCATTAGGCCTGTCAGGAATGCGACTGGAGTAGCCGCAGCAGCAACAGCAGCAGGAGTAGCAGCAGCTGCTCTTAACAATTTTACGCCTGTGCGGCATGTGCGACATCTTTTTATATATATATAAGCAATTTTTTTCTTCGGCATTTGCCACACTCGACTGGATTGCGCATATTTTGCAGTTGCTTTGCCATATTTCTGTTTTGCCCTTCAATATATTTTATTTCTGCTGCTCTTGGAGTTGTTTTCTGTATGCGTGGAGCGTACGAAACGTGCGGCCTCCATTTTGGTAGGTAACTCCAAAAAAAATAAAAGAAGCAGAAGAAAAATGTTGGTAGCCCGCGGCCCGGATCATTGAGTAGGTGCCTGGCAGCTTAATTGGCATTTCGATATGACAGCTACGCAAGGGTACACGGGCTCGCTTTCGGGCTTTTTCGACCTGGGTCTAGGGCTGGGTCTGTTTTGGGTTTGGGTTTGGGTTTGGGACTAGGTCTGGCTTTTGGCTTCAAAATTGAAATCAAATTTGTTACGTCTGCTTTTCGAGAGATATCTGCGAAAAGTAGTTGCTGTTATGTTTGTATACCCTTTGGGCTGAGAATGGATATAAATATAATTGAAAAAAAAGTATAATATTATATATAAAAAACTATAAATATATAATTTTAAATTAATTTAATTTTATAGTTTAATAATTTATGCAACATTTATTTAAATATTCTATAATTTAAAATGTAATTATATTTTTAATTATATATTTTTTAAATTATTTTTTAGTTGAACTAAAAATTACAGTTTAGTTTACTTTATTTGTTTATTTATTTTTATTATTTATTTATTTATTTATTTTTTTTGTTGTTTATTTGTAAGAGATTTATTATGAGTTGCATTTTCTAAGAACTTAAAATACTTTTATATCCTAGTTATCTCAACACACTCTCTCTCTCTCTCTCTCTCTCTCTGTGTCAGCCCACATTCCGTCAAATCCTAATCCAATTCTGTTTAAAAATTCGCTTCACCTTTGTTATTTAAGTTAAAACATTTTTAATGAAACAGGCGTGAAGCATTTTTACACTTTGTTAGCATATCGAAAATGAAATTTTTATAATTAGTATGCCGAATTTGTTGTCGTTATTGTTGCTTACCCCATTTCTTTGTTGTTTTTTATTATTTCTTGTGTTTTGGTGTTTGTTTGTTGGGTCAAATTTTTCACAATCAAGCTAATTGTAATTTATAGCACCACGCGCTGCCTTTGAGTATCAAAGAGAGAGAGAGAGGAAAAAAAAAAACAAAATAAAGTTACATTTAATGAGACCGTTTGAGATTGTTTGAGGTTGTAGCCATTGTGCTTGGTCTATATGAGATTGTGGCGTACTTTTATGCCGGCTCCGCCCACTTTCCACCTCTTGACACTCAGCCGTGTTTACATGCTCGCAAATTCACAGACATCAGTCTTTGGCACGTTGCTTGATCTAGGCTGTGAATGATTGTATTTAAGCTCATGTCCCATGATATTATACTGCTACTCATTATATATTTTCTTTTGTGGTGTGGGTAAATATTTGCTTGACTCTCGCATGCATTTATGAATTAAAGTTGAAATAATAAATACATTTTTCCATTTCGCATTTAATTAAATATTTTTTTGTTATGGTTGCTGCAATGGCAAACGAAATGCTTTTATGACGAAACGTTTTTAATATAAATATTTGCATCTGTTGGCCGAAAAACAATTAAAGCCATAAACTTTGCCAAAAATGATGAATATTTATGCAATATTATAGAGAACTAGAAAAGATCTCAAAATAAATGTAGTAAATGAAGAGATACCCAGCTCGAAAGTGCATCAAATAAAATATGTAAATTTAAATATGAAATTCTATAGTATGAAGGAATAATTGGACAGTCAGACAGGCGGACAAATCAGCTCGTTATTCAAATGCTTATCCTTTATAGGATCTTCCCTACAACTAATATACCCAATATGGTCATTTTCAATTTGTTTAGGGTATAAAACCCATAAATATTGCTGCATGCGTTAGATGATGCATTTTACTAATAAACTGTTCCAAAGCACTGCAACAAAGGTAAATGTGAAAGCAACTAAAACAAAAATAAACTAAAATTTCGATTATAAAAAAAAAACACACTTCAGCTTGTGCTTTGTGTCGCTTCTCAGCTTTTGTCTATGTGTGTTTATCTGTGTGTGTGAGTCGTTTTTGCTAAATATGTTGTATAACAAATTGACTAAAACAAAAATATTAAAATGTTTTAATTAACTAAATTTAATTCAAATTGTATTTGTACAATATCTGTATATTTTCTTTCTTTGTGCTCTTTTTTCTTACTCTAACCGGCATCATCATTGTAATTAAACCGACATGTAAAAACAACTAAACCAACCCCAAATAATAATAATATCCAAAATCCAAACAAAAAAAAAAAAAAACAAACAAACTTTTAATAATTCACATGTATTAATTAATTAATAAATCGCAAATCGCGACTGTCGTCTGCGGCTGCTGCATCCGAAATTTGAAATTTTTGCGTTGCGAATCTGTAAGTTTTTGCCCTTACAGCTGCACTACTGGGCGCTCGATTCCGTGCCGGATCGAATGCCGGCATATTGGGCCTGGGCGGCCTGCCCGGCCTGGGCGGACCGGGCGCCGGTGATGGCGGCGATACGGAGGCCGGCGAGGGCAATAATTTGGATGTACCTGCCGGCTGTAATATGGGCAGACGTCGCAGTCGTGCGGTTCTATATCAGCTATCTGGACACTACAAGCCCGAGAAGGGCGGTGTCAAAACCAAATTGAAGCTGGGCAACGTGAGTACATATAATAAGCAATCCACTGAATAACCACCAAATGCGCATGCACACACATACAAGCACACATATACAAATGCAAACACACACACACACTTAGCCTAATGCAAACACGAGAATGGCGCCAGGGCCATTCCGACCCAAATTCAATTAAACGTATATCGTTTTTAATCCACTTTGGTTCCTGTTGAAGGTAATAGCTCAGCATACACACTCAACGTGTGGCGTATTATTTAAATGGAATTTAGAGAATTTTAAGCTGTGCTGCTTTTGTATATTCGTATATTTTTGTTATTGCATTATTTGAACTAGTTTTTGGTATTTCTGAAATCAATAAAACAAAATTACAAATTCTCATTATGTTTGCTTAAATAAATAACTTGAAATGTCAGAATAAAAATTCTTTCTTTTATGATTTATTTATCATCTAGATTTCAACATTTTTGTAATTACCAAAAAAAAAAAAAAAAAAAAAAAAAAAAAAAACAATTATTAAACACCATGATTTAGTTTAAATAGTTTTTTTTTTAATATTTATTTTGTATAATTAAAATCCCATTCGATTGTTCTTTTATTAATTTTTGTCTGTAAGTATTTTTTTTTTCATACCGAATCTTTACAGTTTTTCTTCCGCAATTTTTTATTTCTTTTTATAAAAATTATTTAAATACTTTCTGAAGTTATTTTGAAATTTGACTGATTTTTTATGTTATCAAATATTGAACTTTAAGAATTATATAAATTATTTTGCTTATGAATTTTAAGGTTCAATACTTCTGCAATAAACAAAATGTTAATTAAATTAACAATTTTAGTTCCGTTTTTTTTCATATGCGACATTTTTGGCACATAAAACGAAACTTTAGCTTTTTCGTTTATTGAAATTGACTTTTGATGTGTGATTTATTTATTGCAGAACTTTATGCATTCAACTGAGGCACCATTTCCCGAATACAAAACGCAATCGATAAAGAAGTCACGCTTGATTTTACCCCATTACGGCGTATTCAAAGGCATATGGGATTGGGTCATATTGGTGGCGACCTTCTATGTGGCATTAATGGTGCCCTACAATGCCGCATTTGCCAAAGCGGATCGACAGACGATGGTCTCCGATGTGATTGTTGAAGCGCTATTTATTGTGGGTGAGTACCACTATACAACAAAGCAGATAATCATGATGATGACGATGATGATGATGATGACGATGACCATTTAATGTCCATTTGGGCATTGCGAGTATGTGTGTGTGTGTGTGTGTGTGGACAACCTGTTAGCCATACTTAGATTCCCATCAATTGCCTTTTGTATTCTTGACTGGGAATTGAATTTAGCTTAAGGCCAAATTTGGCTTTTTAGTTTTGTAGCAATTCGTCTTGTGTCTTACACCACATTTAACCTTTTTTTTTGATTTCATTTATTGCTCTCTTCTATTGCAGATATTTTATTGAATTTTCGCACAACCTTTGTCTCACGCAAAGGTGAGGTCGTCTCCAATTCGAAACAGATTGCCATCAATTATTTCCGTGGCTGGTTTGCCGTCGATTTATTGGCTGCCCTGCCCTTTGATCATCTGTATGCCTCCGATTTGTACGACGGCGAGGTGAGTAAATTGTTTGCCAAACAACGTTTACAAATAGTTTTATTGCCCGGGCAATTGAAAAATTAAATTTGCTATTTGCATACCACAGGAAATTGCTTTAGCAGGTGGTTTACTATGGGTGGGTCGCGGGTTGTGTGTGTGTGTGAGGAATTTACTGCATTTGATATGCATACGCTGTCTGGGCTGGGTTGTCTAAGCGGATGTGACTGAATATTTGTTTTTATTTTTTTAATTAGTTTTAGCTCGTGCACAAGAAGAAGTTACCCTCTCTCTCTCTCTGTCTCACTCTCGTCTTTATAAACTTGAGTTAGTTAAGTTAGTTTAAGTTCTCCATATTTCATATTCTCTTGTTCTCTTCGTAAGTTGCCTTAAAGCTAGCTCATTTAATTTCGTATTTCATTGCTAGATTTATCTTAGCTTAGGTTTTCATGAATCTCCATTTCAGCCTTTGGCTTTCATAATTTCATTTTAGCTATCTCTATTTCAGCTCTTTCACATTTTCTCTGTTCACTTCAATTTCAAAACACATTGGCATTAGCATCAATTGTGGTTGGCCCTCTTTGTGGTTTATTTTGTTTTTATATATAATTTAAATCGTAAACATTTGCCTAGGTTTATCAACTCAATCAGCTTTGTGCTCATTTATTTTTATTTTTATTATTTTTTGTTAAAATATAATTGCTCTACCTTCCATTTCTAAAGTTACATCCCTTGAAAGAAAATTTTATTGATGTTTTTGTATTATGATATATTAACATATATTCTGCAAAAATTTGTTAATAAATTTACTAATAATTTATTAGATTTACTGAAACGATTTGGATAGTAAAAATATTTAAGAAAATATATATTTTTTTTTATAAAATTATATAAAAGCATAAGTAATATAAAATATAAAGAATAATATAATATTCATTTTATTAAAACAATTAAACCGATTGACATAGTAAATGTTAAGGCAACTGTGAATTTTCTTTGAGTTGCCTGATTTGAATATTAATACAATTTAAAAATATGCATACAGATGCCAACAGTTTTATCAACTGCACTTGTTTATTAGCTTAACATCTGGTTTAGACAGCTGCACAACATATTGAGCAATAATTTGGTTGAGCTTGTACTCTTGCATGACTAGACAAATTTAATTGGCTTCGATTGAGACAATTGCTTGATTTGAAAATAGCTGAGCAGATTAAACAAGAAATCGAATTTTGGCCTCAAAGCATTGAGAGTTCCATCGGTATTTCACTTCGGATTATCAATGAACCCTGGCTGTCGTCGGCCTTTCGTCAGCTCTAGTCCGAAGCCTCAGCAGGGATGGCATCAAATATTTAAGCCGAAATTTCAAGTGGTAAATAGCTGAAAGAGGATTTGCATAAAACTGTGCCAGCGCATGCATAATGCATGTGTTCTTAGCATTTTTGTTGGCCTTCTCTCTCCCTCACTCTCTTTCTCTCTTTGTTTTTGTTCACTTTCAACTTGACTCAGTTGAACTTGGCTAAGTTTAGCTTGTCTGGCTGGCCTTAGTAGCCATTGCAATTTAATTAAGGTTTTTGTTTAGGGCAAGAGATAGAGCACGATAGAAATTTTAGATCGCTTAGCACTGCTGTAATCAGCGTTTCAGCATAGTTTTCATATTTATATTCGTTGCGCAATTCGTTTAAGCTGCTTTACTATGTGGCACGGCGAATGGAATCCGCTTGAGCGCACTTGCAAGGGATTAAAATCGTGCGCCCTCCTCGCTCTTCTATTCTGACCCAAATGTGCTTCAAATAAATTTGAGCGCTCAAAAGTATGCTACATTTTGCGGCATTTACAGCTTCATTCGCTCTGCGCACAGGTATTGAAAATGGGGCGACTGCTGTTGCTCCTGCTGCTTTTGCTGCTGTTGCTTCATCATTTCGTCCGCGTCTTTTCAAGCACTTTACTTGGGTCTCGCAAGTTTGTTTTGTTTCCTACTTTGCTGGCCGAAGTCAGCTTTCCACTTGAAGTGCTCGGACCAAAGACCTTGACAGAAGAGTATCTTGCAAGCGTTGCTTGCTCAGCTATGAGATACCGTGTATTTCGCTCGCAGAAGCTACAAAAGTGCAAAATTAATTTGAGAAGTGAAAATTTACAGGCCGTAATTAGTTTAATATAGTTTGCTTAAGTTAGAGCGAAAGAATCCATATACAGCTGGAAAAAGTTTTTTACTAGAAGACGAAAAGTAAAAAAAAAAATTGTGAACAAATATTTGAAAAAAAAATAAATATAAATAAAAAAGATAAATATATATATATGTATAAAATTCAAAAAATTAAAAAAATTATATACAAAATTAAAAAAAAAAATTAAAATTTAATATTGTTTTTAAAATTAAAATATAGTAAAAAAAATTGAATATAAAAAGTATATATAAATTCATCAATAAAATTTAAAAAAATTATTAAAATTTAATATTGTTTTTAAAATTAAAATATAAAAAAATTGAAGTTAACAGTACATAAAAAGTCAACTAAATTAAAAAAATTTAAGAAAATTAAAACTTAAGAGCAAAAATTTTTATTATTTTTAAGTAGATAAAAATAAAATTTGATCAGTTATAAAGCTGGAAACCGTGCTGATTCATGCCTATATCTTAGTCCAATACACTCCATTTCTCTCTGCAGCTATAGGGCATGCCAAGAATCAAGAAATCAACATGAAATGCTGCCAAGAGCATATTTCAAGCATGCTGCCACTTGTGTCTTAAGTTGCCATTTTTTGTACCGACTTAATTTTCGCAGCTGGCTTTTAACTGATTTTATGCATTGTCATGGCTAACAAACTTTCTGTGGCAGTTGTTGCTGTTGATGTTTTTAGCCACAGAAAAGTTGCCGTTTAACGCCGAAGCCGATCAAATCAAGTACAAATTTTCGGCTGCCTCGTTGAGTCAAGTTGAAATACTTTTGCGCTCGGGCAAGCATCAAATATCTGAGGGAAATCAGAATGAATAAAAAATTACTTAGTAAGTTGATTTTGCTGTCAACTTGTTGTGAATATGAGTCAGCTACTAAAGTTGTTTAAAGTCGACTTAAGCCTGGTGTGTTGCTCCTTAACATGCCGCAATCAAAGTGGAAATTCTTGCCAAGGCCGAACGCAACAAGGCTAACTAGCCTGACCGATTGCTCTAGCTTGTCTATCTCGCTCTGTCTCGCCCTCTCTCTGTCTCACTCATTTTATCTAAACATTTTCGAAGGTCGCAAAAACAAATCTGGCTCTTAAATGCCACAAAACTTTCTATTTTCAAGCGACCCAAATGCGTTATAATTATTGACGCTGTCCTGCTCGTTGGGCCACCCACGCACATCTATCTCTGTCCCTCTCTGGCTTGCGTTGTAAGCTTCTGCGTGTGGCTTTAAAGCTCTTAAGTAGCTGCAGCCAAGAAAAAACATTAATATACTTTTTATTTTGGCTACTTTTGACAAATGTTGGACTTGGATTTACTTCATGTTTTTTTTGGTTTTTGTTTTTTCTTTTTCTTCTTCTTCTGTTGCTGCTGCTGCATACCAATTTCCAGCTAATGCACTACAAACTTTACATATTTAGTTGATTTCAAAGTTTTAATTATCTTTGAGATCCCCAAAGAAGACCAAAAAAGTGAGGAAAGTGAAAGAGAGAGTGAGAGTGAGTTAAGGAGTGAGAAGGGAGAGCTTGGTCAGCGGAAGCGGAAGTTGCCATGACAGTCAAGTTGACGCAGCTTGCTTCACGTTACGTTGCTTGCGCTGTTTCTCTTGTTGTTTTTGTTGTTGCTGTGCGCGACAAAGTAAGCAAAATGTGTGCGGGCGGCACAAAACTTTGTCCAAAAGCCAGCCAAAGAGGCCAAGGGAGGCGAGCAAATGAAAGCGAAAGCGCAGCACAAATTGCAACATGAATTACAATTTAGCCTGGCAACGGCTCACACACATATACACAATCACACGCACACGCACACGCTTAGCCACGCGGCTTTGTAAATGCGAAAATCCTTATAGAAAATAACGGCACAAAAGCATTTATTGTGCCGTCGTTCATAAAGCAACAGCGCCTCAACATGTTCTCAGCTGTCTGTTCATCTGTCTGTGTGTATTATTATATATATATATATATATATATTTTTTTATATTATTGTATACTCTGTATTACACAAGTGTGCGTGTGTGTGTGTGTGCAGGATGAGCCTGAATTTTCCTTGAATTTTGTAAATGTATTCATTGTATCAATCAATCCATATTTCATCAATCAATTCATATTTAATTCAAGCATGCTGAGATTTGTTGAAATTAAGTAATCAGGCATTGGAATATATTGCTCGGAAGATTTTCAATGGAATAGACTTGAATATAATTAAAATTTATTCATCATTTGTGCATAGTAGATATTATATAAATATATCAATTAAATTATATATTATTATTGTTTTCGCTTGTGCTGAACTATTCGTATGACGCTGTGATCAAACAAATAATAAGAATATTAATAATAAATATATATATATATATATATAAATATATATATATATA